GGAGGGGTGGGGCAGGTAGGGCGGAGTGGTGGGGGGCGGCCCGAGGGGGTGCGAGAGGGTCTGGCCCATGCTGCGCCTGGGCTGGGACTGGTCCCGCTGGCGCAGGGTAGCAGGAAGCTCTCCACACACTCACCGGACCTGGGCTAGGACTGGGTCTCTCTGCTTTGGTATTCTATAAGTGGAGATTAATTTCCAATGGAGTGGAGTAAATGTGTGTGTGTGTGTGTGTGTGTGTGTGTGTGTGTGTGTGCATGCTTATGGATATTATTCCAATAGATGCTTGTAAATTGAATCAAACTTTCAGAGGGATCTGAGATTGCAGATTTAAGATTTGAAGGAGGCAGATTGGATAGAAAGAAAGAACAAATGAATGAAAGGGATAGTAAATACAGTTAAGCTGGGAATGAACTGATCAGCCAGCTTGTTCCTATTTAGCAGAATTTCTCTGCATATTCATTTTGAGGGAATTCTGAAACAAAATTAGCTGTTACCTTTTTCTTCTTTTTCTACTTTTAAAGCATTGCAGACCAGGCTTAGTTCTGGTACTCATATTGAAGAAAAGAAAGGTGCACACAAGACAAATTTTGTGGCTAGATGCATGGCTGAAAGTAATGTGGCTAAAGGGACAAGGTTAGTGGAAGACAATGGAAGCACCCTTGTTTTCATGATGCTATTAAATCTGGCTCTGGATTTAAGGGACCAGGAAATTGAGAAGTGGGATTTTCCAGGGCCAAAAACCTATGGCCACTTGGCAAATGGCTTGCCTCTTATGAGATTTTTTTTGTTATTGATCTGAAAATTGGAACAAATTGCTGACATAGATAGCTTTGATATAGGCCTAACTAGATAAAATTCTTCTCGTAACAATATTGCTTTGGGATCAACTTATAAATACCAGAAGGTAGCTGTTTCTGGTCTAATTCTCAGCCTGACTAGGTGCTTTCCATTTCACTATTTAGCACCTAGTCGTGATGAGGTCTGCAGGTGCCTTCTAGAAGAACAGCTAGCAACTGAAGAGTGGGTAGTAGTTTGAAGAGGCCCTGTGTTCAGGTACAGCCATCACAAGCCATTTTTCACCATCTCTAGCTCTGTAGCGGTGTTGCTGTTCTAGAATAAGGTGTGCAAATGCTTTTATTTGGAGTGATGTATCCCACTGTGAGCTGTCATATAGTGTAGTGCTTTATACTCTTTTCCCACTTGCTAGATTTATGATATGAAAAGTGTTCCTAATACAATTGAAAGGTGTTCTTGAGTTTGCCAAAGCAAAGATATGTTCTTTTATATTTAAGAATTTGTGAGACAGGAATCTGTGACAGTAGATGTAGACTCTACTCAAAATTTTACATTCTGAAAATTTCTATTTTCTGTTTAAGATTTCAAAAGAGATTAACCAACCAGTGAGGCAGGGCTTTTATGTACTTGAAAAGGACTTTACGGGACCATCTTATGTTTACTGAGCTTCTGTCCCAATAAACCTTTTTAAGATGAAAATGTCTTTATACATCTAACCTACTGAATGTGATAGCCTTGCGTATATTAAATATGCTCAGGTTACACAAAATCATCTAACATAAAACATATTTTATAATAAGACACTGAATATTTCATATAACTATTGAATGTTATACTGGTAGTAAAAATGGTTGCTCGAGTACACTCTGCCCTGCTGTAAGGCCAATGAATCATGAATAAACCATTTTAACTTGGAGACTGCCTGTACCTAGTTCCTTCATATCTCACAAAGTAGGTGAGAAGAGTGCCTATCTATTAAGTCTTAGTGGAGGCCTGCAAGTGTATGTGCACATACAATGTTTAGCCTGTGATGTCTGGGAATCTTCTTAAACTGAGGGATGTAACTGCCAGGGTGGACTGGGCAGCACACAGGTGGCCTAAGTAGCATGTCCCAAGCCCTTCTTTAGCACAGAGCAAGATTTGGGGGTGGGGAGGGTTTCTACATTTGAATGAAGATCAGAATAGCAGAAGGAAGCACCACTGGCCAGAAGATGGTGTGGTTTGCTAGTATGGGGCCTATGTTAGTTTTCAGTGGACCTAAAATTTTGGATCCAATTTTAATATGGAAATGAGCTTTAAGAATGGATCGCTCAAACACTTTGCGGAAGTTAGCCCTTCCTCTGCAGTTTAAGCTCCTTGAGTCAATGCAAGAAATTACCTTAACCTGGGTTCCACTACAGCTTGGCGTTAGGGCTCTGCTGAACCACACCCACCCTCCAGATAGGGGCAACTTTATACTATTACTTCTTATTAAATGAGAAGAAAAATACAAAAAGTATGATTTTCTTATCATTTATTAATGTAAAATGGTAAAATACTTATTTTATTTTTTCATATTGCAAGCATATGTATTCATAAGTGGAGATTATTTTCTCAGCTTGAAGTAAACACAACAGGAATATTAATGTTCTTTGAAAATGGAAGGAAACAGAAAATATTTTTATTTACGAAAACTTCAAGCTCTTAATTTGTCTTATGATATACAAATATTGGTTCTATTTTTTCCAATTTAATGTAGAAAACATAGTCGTTTTGCAATAAATAAGCAATTTATATTTGTTTAACATAACAATGCTAAATGAACAACATAAGTCAAACATTTATTTGGGACCTATTGTATGCCAGACTTGTGGCATATTGCCCAATTCATAAGATTCAACTCTTTTCCTGCATCTCTAAAATGCTAAAATTCTTTTTTGCATAAATGTACAGCACATATTTTTCCTTACTTTTCATACCCTAAATTCAATCTTTACAACTATTTAGTTAAAATTATTTAATTAGCAATTACTTCAGTTTGTATGTTACAGATTCCTTTAGGAAACTCTCAAAATTACCAGAAAAATTGATGATTCTTTTGAAAAGAGAATATTGTTTCTATGAAGGCAAAACATTTTTACAAAAACCACATGAACAAAAAACAGAATGAGGGCTTTATTTTTAATAGTAAAATGTGCTGCAAATATTTAGATACAATCACACAAATTACTAGGAATTTTATATGGCAAACAAAATGTTATTGCTTATTAAAAGGTTAAGATACAAGAGTGAACATGTGGGAAAATCAGGAGGCATCAGAAGGTTGGTGCTGATTATTCGTTACTTTTGTATTAGTGGTTTTACACCTTTAATGCTAGTTGGTTCAAGTGGTTCATATTCTGTTACATAAAATCAACCTAAAATATAAGGCAAAAACTCCTCACATAATCTTCAGAAGAGAAGATATGCAAGAGAGGACACCTATGTAATTACATTTTGGAATTTCATTTGACAGTAAATTTCCATTTGGTGCATGGGGTTCCACTGGGAACCACTGAATGGAAGTTTTTAGGAAGTGAAAAGCCACTGAAAATGAGGGGAAAAGTTTGGCCCTTAGTAAACTGGATTTTTTTTTTTTTTTGAGGGGATGGGGGAAAGCAAGCTCTTCACTTTAAACATTTTAGTATAGGATTGTACAGAACTTGTCTGAGAAAGATATGGCAAAACCAGATTCATATTATGTAGAGGAGAATGAGCCAGCAAACTGTAAGTTCTTTTTATAATTCTAAGAAATTATGGCTTTTTGACATCTAATTGAACTTTCATATAGTTTCTTGCCACCATTTTGAATAATAAATGAGAATGAAATTTGCTCTTCATTAAGAGTTTTAAAGAGTAAAAATTATCTAACAAATGCATTCGATGTTTGCTTGATATTTTATTATTTAATTGATATTACTTCTAAAATGTGCCTTTATAGATCATTGATTAATAAGAATCTGTGAAAGTAAAACATCCATATTTAAAGAACTGTGTCATAATAGCATGCCTGGAAAAATAGTTCCTGGGATGCCTAAAATTTATATTGGGCTGTAAAACTGAAGTATGGGCCAAGGGTTAACAACCTTGAATTTTGCCCTTAAAATTAGTCTCAGAAAAATCTACTTCATTATAAATACATTACTGCTGGGTAAGTGTCCTTCTGATTGATATGCCCAGAGCTACCTTTTCAGCAGTCTTTTAAGCACCAATCCTTCATGTTGGCTCTAAAAATGAGATGGGCTTCTCCTCCCTAGTTGGGACATCAATTTTTACCTGCCAATACAGTTTGATGAGCCTGGTTACACACTGCTCACGTCCTCCACCGAGCCAGAACATGTAGTCAGCAATCATGGCGCTCCTAGCAACGAGAACAGATTTTTAACAAATGAATTTAAAGGGTAGAAGTAAAACCATAACAGGCAGAATTCACAAACACTGAAGAATATTTTATAATGTATAAATTCCATTCGTCTAAAATTAAGCAAAACCTAAAGCACATTTTAGAATATAGAGAGTAGGTGCAATTGTTTTTGTAGCTTACCTAAAACTATATGAGAGGAGGAACAAACCATCTATCTTCTAGATGCTTCTCCTATTGTACAGTGTAAGAATACTTAAAGATTGTGCAGGAATGCTTTGTTTTGTGTTAAGCTTTAATACATTGACAGAATGACATTTATGGACTTTAAATCTCTTCAAACTTAGTATAGAATGTATTACTAATCATTAGGCAAATATTTAAGTATATCAGACTTTACTACAGTTACAGGTTATTCATCTCATTAAATTAGCCTTCTTAAAATTAAAAATCAAAAATTTTCAAGTCAACAAACAATCCCTTTCCCAAAAGTTCATGCATGATTGAATTAGCTTTAGTATCCAGTGTGTACAGTCACTCTATTAGTCTTCTTATGCTGAAGAGATATTCAAAACCACTGTACAATGGATATTAATTCATTACTTAGCACCCTTTGTAAAAACAGCTTATTTTTATGACTGTTTCTTTGCTGGGCCTCTCTCCTTCTTTTCTCTAGAGATTCCAAATCCAATTAAATGTGACTAGAAGTAATTCCAAATTGTCACGTTAGCCAATTAAACATATAATAATCCTGTGTACCTAATCACTAGTACTGAAACTTTATTTATTTAAGTAGAGCGATCACTGCATATCCCTGCATGTTTTTCTTATCTTTGCCTGCAGATACGTGTTGTTTCTTGACATCGGTGTAAATTGAATTAGAAACGTTCTTTCTCTAAATATAGGTTGTCTGAGACACAGTAACTATAAACTTACTATAGTACTCTATTAAAGGAATTAAAATGTTTCGATTTTTGCTCAGGACAGGGAAAAATTAGGACTTTAAAAATTAACAATGGAGACAAATGCCAACACACAGAGTATTATTCAGCTCAGTATTTTTCTCCATACACATGTGACATTGGAGAGAAGCTGTACACTGATATTTCAAATAAATGACAATAATCTAGAAATAATCTCTTAAGAATTCTCTCATATTTTTCAAAGCCCTTAATTTAGATAAGATAAAGAGTGTGGGGAAGTTTTGATCCTCTGTCACTAGTGACAGAGTAGAAAGAAGTTATAAAAGCATAAACTTTAAAAGGACAAGAATGCATTTGAAATTTGTGTACTCTGATAGAGGCAGGTGGAAACATTTTCCTCCCGTGACAACCTAAAAAGAAACGTTGCTTAATTTGTGGGTCCCTGTTACCTAGCAGAAATTCACTTTATAAATTCTGACTTTAAGCAGTCAATAGGAAACATAAAAAATAATCTTACTCTCAATGGCAGTACTTACTGCTTTTATAGGAGCTCAGTATTCTTAGGTGATGAGCTGGCCCATAATCTAATCCCTCCTGCCTGACATTTGGTTATGTTAAATATGGCAAACAAAATTACACTCAACAAACTTTGCTTACAAGGCTACCAGCTATTAGTTAAGCTACAGACGGACAAAGGTGGTCTGCAAATGGTCAGATAGTAAATATCTTGGGCTTTGTAAGCTACATCATCTCCCAACTACTCAACTTTCACCTTGCAGGAATATCTGTAGGCAGCATATCAGTAAACAAGTGAGCTGTGCCCCAATACTTTTCATGCTACATCCACGTAGTGGGTGGGTTGAGGGTAGCTGTCTAGCTCCAAGGTGAACTTCTCTAGTGGCCATTTGTAAATTTTTCAATCCACAATTAGATGCCAAATTCCCACTTTCCAGCTTTTGGGTCCCCCACATACAAATCCTAGTTGACTGCCTTCTCTTCTGGAATAAAATAACATATTTTTACTAAAATTATCAAGCAAAATTCAGAAAATACATTTTATGATTTTGAAACATGAAAGAAAAGACAGGGGAAAGATAATTCTAGATCACTGACCCAATCACTTGGGTTAAGTAAAAGGTGAAGTGATCAAATTTCTATAATGTCAGCGCTGGTCATCCTGGGGTTTAGAGTTGTGAGATGGAAATAGATGTATCTGCAGTGAACAACAGCTAAGGCTTTCTGTGCTTACAGTGCTTTTGGTGTCCTGTTGTTGAGTTCAGCATTGTAAAGTTGAAAGTTTGCACATTTATACTAATGTTTTCTGTAATGAAATGTCAAATTGTTTGCTGTGTTGCTGAGCTTGATTTTATTAGACCTGGGGCTCTTTGTCAGAACAACAGAATTCCAAGTTTATAGTGAAATAAATGAAACAATATGATATGTTGAATTCTTTACCCATGATACCTCAATGAAATACAATTAACACGATTGAACAAATACTAATATTTGATAACAAAATACAGTTTCCTAAAGTTTTTTACTTGCCAAGAGGTAAAAGTGCCTTGGTTTTTCAATACCTGGCATAAGGTTGGGTCCATATCAGGGACACAAGTTTGACTGTACTTGCTTCACCCTATGCAATTGTGCAAGGCAGCTGTGTTTTTACCACCCACCTTCCTCTCTGGGTCTCTACCATGTCTCTGCTTTATTACTCAGAAAATATGAAGAGTACATGGAAATACTATTATGCCATGCAATGCTGGTGAGATACCGGAAGGGTTTTTCATCATGCTGAGTTTATAAAGGGTAAAGATAACTAAGTCATGAGCCCTTGAGGAATCGAGAACTATGGGGATAACAGCTCTGGCAGACTCACTCCCTGAAATAAAGTTGTTCTTTTACCCCCTCTCCAGTAGGTGCTCATTCATTATCAGACCAATGTCCTAGGTGCTAGTCGCTGTAGTTCAGAGTTGTTTCTCGCAGCCTTCATCTCGTTGTCACCATTCTATGCATCTTTCTCTCATTAATTTACCCAGTGTCATTGCTGTATTGCAATGGAAAGATCCTGTTAGCCGTGCCTCTTTAGTTGGCAGTTGGTGGCTTAATATCTGTCACTTTCGAGCCTTTATTAAATGCTAAACAGCATGTCAAGCTCTTTCTACAGCAGAATGCAAACCCAACCCACCTACTTGGACTAGTTCTCATCCAATTGCACACCTGAAGTGCTCCAGCAATTCTGTGTCACTTTTTCTCTTTTTAATTTTCTCCTGGAGGTTTTCCAGCAGCACATACAAGTGTTGTTGTTTCTCTCACCTTAAAACAAAAATCCCAAAGAGACTCTTTTGCCTCAATTTCCCACATTCAATTATTACCTTCTTTTCTTTGTTATTATGAAAGAAAACAGCAAGCAGCCTCCTTCAGAAAGCTCTGTGCACTGCCTATCTGTGATCACTTTCTCCCTGTTGTCTGTGGAACTCATTCCAGGAGGGCTGTCTTTCTTGCTGTTTCCCTGGAACCACTCCTGTCAATGCTATTAGTGGTCTCCAGGTTGCCAAATGCTGTGATTCACTGTTTTCATTTTATATGCACTCTCAGATGCAAGTGACACAATCGTCTCCTCCTCCCTCATCCAGCACACACTTGCAGGAGTGGCTTTCACAACTCCACTCTTTCCGGGTTTGCTCTCAGCTTCCTGGGTGCTCACTTCCATCTCTTGTGCCATCTCCTTATCTCCCTTGATTCCTTACTTTGGGGCATTCCAGGGAGCAATGCTTCAACCCCTTCATTTTCTTTTAAAACTCAATCCCTCGGTGAGCTCATTTGTTTTATCATTTTATTTTAGTTGTGAGACCAAAGTCTTCAAAGTTGCCCAGACTGGCCTTGAATTTGATAGCCTCCTGCCCCAGATTCTATAGCAGCTGGGATTGTATGGATGTGCTGCTGCACCTGGCAAGTTGTATTATTTCAAATACCAAACGTATGTTGACAACTAATACCTTTTATAGCCTGCAACTTTAAAATCTCTGAAGTCTCTAAAATCTCTAAAACCTCCTACAAGGTAGCTTCTTGACATCCCTACTTCGATTGCCATGATCGCTAATTAGATCTCAGACTTAATGGAATGACAGCTTAGACTCTGCTCTTCCTTATTTCTTCTTTCAAACCTTGAACTAGTATTTCCCATCTATCCATTTCCTCTTTGCATTTTATTTTTAAAGCAGCACATAATAACTGTATTTGTTTATTGGTCCTGAAAGTCTCACGTGCTTGGAAGGTGATTGGATCATGTGGGTCTTATTTGGATTGCAGCTGGGTGTGCTGTGAGGAGGCGAGGTCTGGGCAAAAGAGCTAGCTGGCTTGTGGTTGTGTTGTTGTTGACGGCAGTGGCAGTGATGTGTGTGTGCGCGCGCGTGTGTGTGTATGTGCCTGCACGTGTGTCCTGGAAGGGCGTATCTCCTCCCCAGTTGCTTTCTTCTCTCTCAGTGCTGACTGGGAGCTATGAGGTGGGCAGCCTTCCTCCATGGCAGGCCCATCCACCAAGCGGTGTCTGCATTTGAGCGTGCCACCATGCAGGGAATGAAACTTCCAATATTGGGAGCCAAATGGCATTTCCATTTTTAGTTTTTGTCTGGTATAAAGACACCAGATTACAAAGATGCACACATAACCATGTTTGTATCAACACAACTCAGTAGCTAAAACTGAAGGTAACCATCAAAAAGAGAATGGATTAAAGTAAATATGGTGCATATACACAATGGAGTACACTCAGTCACTAGAAAAAGATAAATTTGAATTACTTGTAGAAAAACTGATTCACCTTGAGGCCATAATGCTAAATTAAATAAATCAAATACAGAAGATTAAATATCTCATAATTTCTTTTATACAAGAGAATCAAAGTAGAAATAATTTAAAGAGCAAAATAAATGACAGAGCATAGGAAACAGGGAAATAGGTGTGGAAATGTGAGGGGATCGAGGGGTGGGGGGCAGGGGAAAGGGGAGAGGGGAAGGGTAAATAGAAAGGCTCAAGATGCAATATGCGTATGTGCGGATTGCTCATGATTAATGCATA